GTATCGGTCATGGATTCGAATATTTTGCGCAGCACAAAATCATCCTAGTAAAGAGTCCATACTTTTAAATACAAACCAATGGCAACCATTATACAAATTAGTTCCCAAGAGCGGGATAAAATATAATTGCTTTTTCCGACTTGTGACAATTTTTCGTGAGTACGAAAATAAGAATCAAAACTAATCAATGACATTAAACAACATGATGCGCAACTCCGGCATTTTTGTCCGAAGATCGTATTCGATAGCACGCTCCAATGCACATACTTGACGAGACGAAAACGAGCGGATGTGTGCTGCTTTCAAGGCGTAGCACGAATGGTGTTCGTGCCTGCTTTGACAGTTGTTGTCGATTTTAATGATATTTTGGAAAGTTAAGGTAAAAAGGTAAGGTAAATACTATTGTTGTATATCACACCCGGGCATCGCACTGTTTAAGTACATGTGGGAAAGCCAGCCTTTGTCAAATACTACGAAGTTATTAATTCAGTACGGTACGTAGTTGCCCATTGCCGAAATTACATATTTACTTACCCCTTATGGTTTCAAATAGTTCATGCACCTCCAGTTAGATTTTTTTAATCAGCGAGGATATATACTCATTGTTGATTGCTGCTTATTGTAACATACTATTGCGCATTCACTTTTATTTGCGTATTGAATCAAAGTGTTAACAAGTTCACCTAACATTTCAATCATACCGTTTTATATTGTATAGACTGATCTCTCAAGTATTTGGAGCCACGAATGCTTGTAATTTTCTGACTAAACCCTTTTATTAGTTGGTTTATATACCAAATTCAGTAAAATATTTTTTACATAAAACATGAGATATTGGATTTTTTAGCTTTTCCATTCTAAATCATATAGACTGCTTTATTTATTCTTAACGAAAATTAATAAATCTCCTCTCTTTCTTCAGATGTGAAAGTTGTGGACAAACCTGTCTAAGCATTGTGAGACTCCTGCAGCACAAGAGGTATATCAATCAAGAAATTAAGCCGACATAAAGCAAAACTTTTAACTATTCGTCTAATCTCAATTTCCTATTATTTATTCACAGGACAACTATAGCAGAAGGGGAGATATCAGTGACAGTGTGATTCCAATAAATATAATTAAAGTACTCCATAAATGTTTGCAATAGAAAAACAACCTGTGGAGGCATGCAAAGACATTTGACCCTCCGGTAGAGTTGTGTATGGCCCCCACATCCTGCGGGACTTGAGGAAAATAACTAAAAATTCCAAAGCGTAAGATTGCATAAACGGTCTTATTTGTAAAAAGGCACAAAACACGCCAGACATACTTAAAACAGCTTTGGAAAATGAGAATTACGGGTAACTCACTGCATCTGTGTTATATTTGGTTCATCAACTTTTGGTAGTACTATAGAAGAAATTCCAGAAGGGGTATAATCATCCTTCATGATAAAATACTATCATATATTTTTTGGACAACTTCAATCTAGACCAGGGATCTCAAACTCGCGGCCCCAGAGAACTTCTAGTGCGGCCCTCGAACGCTTAACAATAATTGTAATAGTATTATGGAATTTTATTTTTATCTAAATGTAATAGATTTTTCAAACCTTTTAAAGTGAAATTGATTATTCACACAAAAAACAATTTACTGAAAGTAGTTTTGGAATATTAATTTTTTTTGTCCCCATTTTGACCCAATTAAGAATACACAAGCTAGCAAAAGAATACTTGAATAAAACACTTGAGTGATTAAATTAAACGCAAAGTACATGAAGAAGGTGGCATTTTCGAAGAAATTGGGAGTTGCAACATTTCTGCTTTTCACAAAATTCTGAAGCACATTGCTTAATTTGTCATATTTCCATCAATACAATGAAAAAACACAATAAGCTCAGCAGTCAATATGACAAATTCGAACAGAAAATTTCCATGTGCTTGTATATTAATATAATTATACAACGACTTAGCAATAATAATTCAAGCAATCCTATGCCACGCAATGTGGTGCGAAATGTCTTGTCGAAAAAATCTGTCATTTGTTTTTTTACTGATCTATACATAAAATGATAAAAGTAACTTTTTTTGCATTACTGGAATTAATTAAACATTCGCAAAGATCCAGATTAACCCATGATCATGTGGCCTCGTCAGTTAGAGTTGGTACTATAAATCATTTCAGCCTGGCCTTAGTATGCTGGTGACACAAAAAAGATGCCAAACGTCAGGACAAATGTAATTATTAAAACATTGAGTTTATGTTGTAGTATTTTTGTTAATTTTAGGTTCATATATTAAGATTAAGTATTATTATTTCCTTATTCAAAGCTTGTTCAAAAATGATTTTGATGGTTGTACGTAGAATTTTATGATTGATATAATAATGAAATGATAAAAGTAACTTTTTTGCATTACTGGAATTAATTAAACCTTCGCAAAGATCCAGATTAACCCATGATCATGTGGCCTCGTTAGTTAGAGTTGGTACTATAAAATCATTTCAGCCTGGCCTTAGTATGCTGGTGACACAAAAAAGATGCCAAACGTCAATCAATCAATCAATCATTTATTCGTCGTCACAAAAACATCAAATGCACACAAAATTGGTACAATAAATAAATATAATAATAATGATATTTGTGCGACAGGAGTCGCGAGGGACCATATTAGGTCTTCAAGCAGCGACACCTAAAGCGCTGTTACTGGTTCAGTGTAAAAAAATAACTACATTTGCTACAAACATTGACTATGCAATAGTCGTTATGATGAACATATTTTGAATCATTGAAAAAATTCGCAGCAAACGCAACTTTACTAAAATCATATAATAGCGAAAAAAAAAGAAAAAAAACTCAACTATAAATTTACAAAAAAGGCATATTTGAATAAATTTATATAAGTTACATAAAAGACAAACGACAAGCGAGGGGAAAATGGTTAGACCAAAGACAAAATTGTGATTAATTGAATAGAAGTTGGTAAGCTCTAATAAATCATAAAACGTTGATATGTATATATATATATATACAATACGCTCCACAGTAAGTGGGCATAAAATTTACGAAAGAATGGTAGGCATATGCTTGCTCAATAAATTAAAATATAACGAATTTTGGCATTTTAGTGTAAAGGTTGCACCAAGGTTGGTAAAGTTAAAGTACCGGGTACTTTAGAAATAGACTCCTTACACCTATAGTTCCTCCGGCTTTTTGGGCAGCCATGGCGACAGTCTACAAATGCGACTACTGGGCTATGGACAGAAGATGTCGAATCATACTGAATACTCCAATCAATGGCTGATGGAAGAGAGATAATAACTAATATATTTACTTTTTAGATATAATTTGAAACCGTAATAGCCTAAAGATTTAATGGTACTTGGTAAGGCATTCCACAGTTTCACACCCGTGTATTTTATGGATTTCTGTGTCCTGCTTGATGAATTTGACGAAGCTGATCTAGTAGAGTATGAATGGATATTACTCTGTATGTAATTATTAAAAAAACATTGGGTTTATGTTGTAGTATTTTTGTTAATTTTAGGTTCATATATTAAGATTAAGTATTATTCTTTCCTTATATTAAAATTACTAACTTTGGACTTTGTCATTATCTGCAAAATGTTCCACACAAATCTTTCCGCTATCGCGTTTGTAATCTTCTCTGATAAAAAAAAAACGTCTATGATGTCCAGAATTGCTTTTTACAGCTTGCCTGCCATTCCAGCTTTCCAAGTGAGCAAAACTTCTTAGATATAGAGATTATTTTGTTTCGTTACAGGCGCAAAAAGGCAGATACTACTCGTAAAAAAGACGCCGAGTAGCAAAAGCGAGCGGAAAACGGACGCGAACGGCGACGAGAAATATATGCATTGGAGCGTATCATGAAATACAATCTTTCGCCTGTAGTCTTATGGAGTGACGTCAGAGTTGCCTATCATGTTGTTTAATGTCATTGAACTAATTATATTCGGCACAATATCACGGCAATTTGTGGACATAAATTGTGTGGCAAACTCGCGATTAATATTAATTTTTGATTCCTATTTTCGTATTTACAAAATACAACTGCGATCTGTGGACTTACAATGTGTGGTAAACCACCCGATTATAAATAGTTTTTGATTCCTATTTTCATATTTATGAAATAATAAAAGTATTATTACTCAAACATACAACGGCGATCTGCTGACTTAAAATGTGTGGTAAAGTTCCCAAATATAATTAATTTTTGATTCGTATTTTTGTACTCACGAAAAAATTGTCACAAGTCGGAAAAATACCTCATACTTTATCCCGCTTTTCGACAAATAATTTGGATAATGGTTGGTATTTAAAAGTATGGCCGTTTTACTAGGGTGATTTTGTGTTGCGCAAATATTCAAATCCATCATCGATACCACTATTGTCGTATTAATTTAATTCTGTTAACATAACTCATGGTATATAAAATATATACTGCAATAATCTGCAAATATGAAATGCCTGGTAATATAGCTAGGTTAGAACTTGTAGATAGCAGTTATTCCATCGCTTATTGTATGGAAATTCCTACATACATTTAGATAAGCTTCAATTAGTGGATTTTATTTTCGAAGTACTCGAAATTTCATATTCGAAAAAAATAATTTCGAATGTATTCGAAATAGTGAACTATTCGGTATTGGCCATCCCTGGCTTATAGATCTGTAAAAATCAATTTACAATTGTGAAAGTGCCCTTTAGAACTTCATTATGATACCGTCATCATCATTAACGATCTAAGTTTTCGAGGCACAATGAATAGTACATATTCTACACCAAGAGAAAAATATTTTAATCTCATTGGTTATTTGAAACTTGGAATTAAATTAGCTTGTTAAAAAAATAAGTAAAATCATGTATTTTTTCCTCCGTCACGATAAGGACAAAATATAGTACAAAAATTTCTTTTCTCGAATTGTCTAACAATGTTGGCATCGCAGTTTAAAGGATTTCGGATCTAAAGACTATATCCCACAGTGCTTAATGGCCAATAAAATAACTATTAATGTCATTTATTATTCTCCTAGTATAAAAACAAACGCACGAATGAATATGGCAGAAAATATTTCAAAACTTGTATAAAAACATTTTCAAAGTTTCGACTTTTTAAATTCAACCAAAATTTCAAAAGAACACAAGTAAATTATACCTGCATTGTAATTAGGTTATTGCATTACGTTGCTTACAAGCATAGGGCAAACGTCTTTCTAACGATCCATTATGTAAGAAACCTTTTATACAATGCACACAAACATGTGGGTTCTTCCTTATGTTGTCAGTATAAATTGTTTTTGTAAATGAATTTTACTCAAAAAGCTCATCATTAATTGTAAACAGGGTCGGGTCTTTTTCATGTGTGAGTTTGCTCATACCAATCTAAATGAAGTAATTGCGCGAATCCTTACCACATTTTTTACATACATAAGAAGTCTTTCAAGTGACTTTGTTCATTCACACATAAACTTGATAAAAACAAAGATGCCACAATGTTTACAAATTTGAAGTTTCTATCCAGTATGAATTCGCTCATGGGTATGTAAACTGGATATGTGTGAAAAATTCTTACCACATTGTTTACAAACATAAGGTTTCTCCCCAGTATGAGTTCCCTTATGCACATGTAAACCGGACGGCTGCAAAAAAACTTTTCCACATTGTTCACAAACATAAGATTTCTTTTCAGTATGAGTTCGCTCATGTACTTGTAAATTAGACAATCGTGAAAAACATTTTCCACATTGCTTGCAAACATGAGGTTTCTCTCCAGTATGAGTTAGTATATGATCTTGTAAACTAGATGATTGCGAAAAACTTTTACCACATTGTTTACAGATATAGGGTTTCTCCCCAGTATGAATTCGCTTATGCACTCGTAAATGCGATGACTGTGTAAAACACTTTCCACATTGTTTACAAATATAGGGTTTTTCTCTAGTATGAGTTCGCTTGTGCACTTTTAGATGAGATAGTTGTGTAAAAGCCTTTTCGCATTGCTTACATATGTAAGGTTTTTCACCAGTATGGGTTCTCATATGCAGATTTAAATTCTGATTTGATTTGAAGTTCTTCCCGCATTGTTGGCAAAGAATTCGTTTATCTTCACTGCTAGTTTGTAAATTTGACCCTGGTCTGATGTTAGTGTTTATATAGGTTACATCAATTTTCCCAGTTCCAGTTTTATCGATCAAACCACTCTCTCGACATTGCACAAGAACATAGAGTTTCTTTTCACCATCACTATGTGAAGAAGTTTTACTTGCAATAACTTCTCCGTAATGCTCCTTCACAGTGTTGATAGGCATATCAGTTGCATGTTCATTCAAATCGCCAGTTCCATCGTCAATGTGCAAAAACATATGCTTTTTCAATCCTGGCCCTGATGAGAGGTTTTCATCACAGATAAGGCAGGGAAATAGACTTTCAGTGGATTCCATGATTTTAATACAGAATATCTAAAAATCAAGTATCCAGTCATTACCCAACAAATCAAACAAAAAACAACATTCAATAAGTAAAAGATGGATAATCGACTAACAACAGAATTGATAGGAGGTTGGGAGGACCATACAGTCACTGAACCAAAACAACTCTTCTGGCATAAAAAAAGGTTGACAGATTACATTTTATATTATACCAATTAGTCACATTTCTGCATTTATGTATTTCATAATAAAAAAAAATGATAAATCAATAACAATTTGATATTGACTGCTGTAATCAATAAAATACTGTATTTTTGGCTAACAAGTGTTTCCGTCTTAGGGCATGTTTGTTTGTTTCGGTAGAATCATACACAAAAATAACTATTGACAATAAAGTGAATTTTAAATATTAATTATCATGTTTGTTAGTGATTCACAAAATAGCTATTCTAACACCAGTCATTGTTTTTAACGAAACCATTTACTTCCTTGACAATAGTCAATGGCAACAAATAAAGGTAGCGTAACAATTGAAATTTTTGCACTTGTTCAAACATATTTCCCATCTATTTGTAAATCAATAGTTCAGTAGTCTATTTTGCTCTGGAAGAGTTTTAGCTGAGGTAGATTATAAGTGGTTTCCTGTACACTGAAATAACCACCTTGTGCAAAATAGAAGTGAATCCACAAAAAAATTTTAAGCGTGTGGTATTATGCACACAAATCTTAAAAAAGATTTCCAAAATATCATTTTAGCACTTAATTCCCAGTTTTGAAGAAAATAGGTTACACAGGTTATACTTGTTTCATCGTCTTTTGCGACCATGAGTATGCCTTCGTAAAATATTTTTCACATTGCTCACAAACATCGCAAAACCATGCGCATTAGTGAATGTTTAGGTAAATGTATATTCCAGAGAGGAAGGACAATAGTTGTCTTCATCTGACGTACTCTTCTCACATTATTCATGTTACTCTCTAGTATGAGTTCGCTCATGCACTTGTAATCCAGGCAATCGCGTAAAGCTGCTACCACATTGTTTACAAATATACGGTTTCTCTCCAGTATGAGTTCGCTCATGCGCTCGTAATGTGTGTGATCGGGCAAAGCTTCTACCACAGTGTTTACAAATGTACGGCTTTACTCCAGTATGAATTCGCTCATGCTTACGTAAAGTAGATTTTTCTACAAAACGTGTTCCGCATTGTTCACAAACATAAGGTCTTTCCCCAGTGTGAATTCGCTTATGCACTTGTAAATTGTTTGAACGAGTGAAACTCTTTCCACATTGTTTACAAGCATAAGGTTTTTCTTTAGTATGAGTTCGTTCATGATCTCGTAAAGTGGATAATCGTGAAAAAGCCCTTGCGCAGTATTTACAAACAAAAGGCCTATTTCCACTATGAGTTTTCTCGTGTCTACATAAACTTTTCAATCTTGGAAAAGCTCTTCCGCACTGTTTACAAACATAAGGTTTTTCTCCAGTGTGACTTCGCTCATGAGAATGTAACGTGGATGGTCTAGTAAAATTCTTTCCACATTGTTTACAAACATAAGGCTTATCTCCGGTATGACTTCGTTCATGCCTATTTAGAGCAGCTAACTGGGAAAAACATTTACCGCAATCTTTACAAATATAGGGTTTCATTCCAGAATGAATTCGGTCATGTACACGTAAATGGGATAATTGCGAAAATCCCTTTCCACATATCTTACAGACATACGGTTTTTCTCCAGTGTGAGTTCGCCTGTGCACATTTAAATGGGATGATTGCGAATAACTCTTCCCACATTGTTTACAAATATATGGTTTCTCTCCTGTATGAGTTCTCATGTGCACTTTCAAAATTTGTTTCCCCTTCAATTCCTTCCCACATGTTTGGCAAACATATGGTCCATGTCTACTGTTGGTTTGTAAATTTAAATCAGGTTTTATGTCAATATCAACATGTGACTGGTTCTGCCCACAGTTATTTGATTTCTCAGTTTGACAAACCAAACCGCCCATTATATATTGTGCGTGAACATCGAGTTTCTCTTCATCACCCATAGGTAAATAAGTTTCACTGGTAATAACATTTCCACAATGCTCATCGGAGCTGGAATGCTGGTTAGTTCCCACAATGTTACCAGATATATATTGATCCAAATCTTTAGTCCCACAATTACCATTATCAATAAGTGATCGTGAATGATGAAAAGTTTTCATCACCAAAAAGGCAGGGAAATATATTGAATACTATGATTTTAATATAATTTGTAATTTTTGTATCCTAAAATGTCTAAAAATAAGGATAAAATATATAAAATAATTATTTTGTATTCATTATCATATTAGATATGAATAATTACTTGCACTGGAAGTTTTTTCAAAAGCACAGGCTAGGTATTTTTAGTTGAAAGCGTGATTTAATTATATTACACTCTCATATTATATTTACACTCTTGGAGGGGGCTCTTGGCAGTGTAGACTTTCTGCAAAAAATCCAAAAAACGCTTGCCATTGCACATTTGATAATCCTGTGCTGCTACCATGTAAATACCTAACGCAAACTGCAAACCGGACAAAAGATAGGGGTAGGTCATGTGACTAAGACATCATAATCAGGGATGGCCATTTCCGAATACCAAACTATTCCGAATACATTCTAAAATCGAAAATACCACAATTTTTGTTTTAGTTTATAAAACCCAGTAAAATAGGAAATAAGCTTCAATAGAAATATAAGAGTAAAGCCACAAACCAACAGTATATGTATACAAATTAATTGATAGTTTGTGGTTATTATGCTTAGCATATTGTGATGTTTGCAATAAGTCAGAGCAGGGGTTCTCAAACTTTTGGTGTTGCGGAGCCCATGAAGAGGTTGACTATTATTCAAGGAGCCCTGAAATAAATTTTAAAATTGTTACTTCCCGATTAATATGAGAAAGTAATAAGAATAAGTACGAGTATCCTGAGTAAGTTAAAAGTACTTTACATTTACTTAATTTAAATGCTAAACCTTTCTTATTAATATGGTTAATACAAGTCATAAATAAATCTAAAATTATAGAATCTAAAAGAGTTAAATTATATATATTAAGGCTGTAAATTTGACACTTGTCAAACACATTAATAAATTAGGGGTCGAATCTTTTTCCTTTTGGTATTTTTGTAAGACCTAAAAGGTCGCTGCGCGATTGCATTTTATTACAATCGCCGACTGTTTTCGTCAGCGTGAAACATCAAACCTTATGTTTATTCTCCCTAAATCAAAAATTTCATCCGGCATATACATGTATTGTTCCACAATGACGACAATAATTGCTTTTTTGTTCTCGTGGGGAATTATGAATTCAATGTAAAAAACATGATAATATATATATTATAGTCATCGGCGACGAGATGCTAAAAATAATTAATAAAGAGTTGAATCTGCAACTCAAATTTCTTGATTGAAAAGCGCCATTATGAAATATTGAAACTAAAACTCAAAACGGAAGATAACACTATAAGTTTTGTTTCAGCGGACTCACGACAGATTTAAAACGCTTTTTTAGACATTGTAAATGACAATATTTGGTGTTATGTTAGGTTTTCTTTGGTTATTCATCGTGGTAACTGAAATCGATACGCAGTCACAATTGTGCGCGCGATGTACCGTATTTTCCCGAAATTAGGCCTATATCGAGAATAGGACGACTCCCTAAAAACGGCCTTAAAACAACAATTTTATAAAAAATCGCACATAAGCTGGTCCTACGAATCGTGACACGCCGGACACCTCAAGAAAAACGTAAAAGAGAACAAAATTACTGTAACGCAAACATTTCTCACGTTTATCATTTCTGCGTGTTAGCGAGGGCCGTAGGTGGATTATTACCGGTAATTTATGTTAAATAAAGTCTATATTGCTTTTCATGCGTCGTGATTTGTATTAATGGAAGGGATTGTTGTCGGGAGTTTAAGAGAGTCCCTGAGTCAGCATAAAAGAATTTCCTTTGATCGTCCACAACGCGGTTAATTTCGATAAGAGTCCTTATCACCGCCCCTTAACGGATAACATATCGTAAAGTTATTAAAAGTCGCGCGCCGTTAATTGCCTCTACGGGCGATAGCGCACCAAATAATTACGTTTTCACCACGAAACAACTGGCCTTAAATCGACACTGTTGCTGTTATGTAAAAGAAACAAAATTCAAATTCAAAACTGGACTGAACGATAAATGACAAGACTATTTAATAGTGCAAACACGCAAGTGAAAGCGATCAAGTGTGTGACAACCAATCACAGACTGTACAAGCGATCCCGTCGGATCAGACAAGCACAAGCGAGCGACAACCAACCAATCACACACTGTACAAGCAGCATGTGCTGAACAAGCGATCAGCTGTATGATAAGACAATCACACCTGTACAAGCGAGCGAAAACAAACTAATCACAGACTGTACAAGCTATCAGCTGTATGATAAGACAATCCACCTTCACAAGCGATCGTGTGTGTGCGGCAAGTCAGCACAATATTATCTCGTTGCGTGATCAAATTTGTCGATTCCGCTAAATCGCTATAATCTACAACACTGCCATGCAATCAGTCATTATTACGATTATGATTTGATCGGGACGGGCACAAATATCTTATCAAACTTTTGGCACCGGTAGTAGGTATATAAATATGTTATTTTGTGGGCAATATGATTTTGTTTCTAATATCTCATTATAACAGCGTTGTTCAGGATATACGGTAGTCCACAAGTGAACGTTTCTCATTTCATATCCGCGGATTGCCATGGTAATTTGAGAAGTAATGGTATTTCATTGTCACACAACCGCAGGTTACATTGAACACAATTAACCCAATAAACAAGTCATTTTAAATATGCCCGCATCGCTCATGGATTGCACAATTGTATATTGAACTCATTGAGTTTTAACGTCGACTTCGGGATTTTTGTAACGACGATATCTTGCTTAAAAATAATCTCGAGTGCGAAGGAACAAATCAAGTTTGACAAATCACAAGATGCAAAAATACGATTCCAATTTATTTATAGTTGGCAGTTTATCACATATTTTATGTTATTTTAGAATAGTAATTTTTTATTTAAGTAATCCTCATGATAATCTTGAATCAAACGTGAGTAACGATGGGCACAATTAAATTATTATGACAGAACATTTTAAATGCTCGCATCAGTCATGGATTGAATATTTTACGCAACAGAAATCTCGTTATCCACTGAAATAGTTTTTTTCTTAATCTCAAAGAATGTTGCGCGAACATTTCCGATTCCAACTTTGATCCCCCCTTCTTCTTAAAAATCCTGGCTGCGCACCTGCTTATAAATAATGTCATTTTTGAATTCCGCCTCTTTGCCATATTTCGAGGCTATACTGTTGTCAAATTTTATTAAAGCTGTTATTGCTTATTTGGACAGTTACAAAATTAGCCAAGTCAGTCTTTTGAAAAGTAATCAAATAGCTCGCGGAGCCCCTAGGCTTCTCTCACGGAGCCCTTGGGCTTGGTACGGAGCACTTTGAGAACCTATGAGTTAGAGGATAGATGACCACCACTGCCAGGCGCGCAGCCAGAATTTTCAAAATCGGAAATTCCCATTGCCGCCTGTAACGTCCACCGCGATTCCACGCTCCTTAAAAGAGCCGTCTTTTCAGCGTATAATGATCATCCTGTCAAGTAAATTATTCAATCCATGACAACTACGAGTTCTAAAATATCTTTATATATTAATTTAATGTGTCCAACGTAACTCGCGGTTGCATCTATTACATTACTATTTGGTCCACGGCGTTAATACGTATTTTTATGCAATCTTTTATCAACTCGTTATCGCCATTAGAAAAATCTCAATAAATGAAATAAAATCATGCAAAGTACAACTTCATTTCATACAATAAATATACATATAAAGTTTAGCAGTAAATTAAAAAAACATATTCATCGCCGCGATTGCTCCACCTGTTAAAAGAGCCGACTTTTTCAACGAATATATATTTTTCTGTTGTGCAAAGTGACATGAGGGCATATTTAAAATGTCTTGCTTTATTAATTTAATTGTTTTCAATTTAACCTGCGGTTGCGTCAACAAAATAAAATCCTCACCACTCTAATATGCCAAGGCAATCCGCGGACATAAAAATAAAAATGTGTGGTAAACTGCCCGATTATATATTGTTTTGATCCGTATTTTGCAAATTCGGCAAATTTGAGATGTGTAAAACTGACTCCTCTCAATCGTAATGCCGCCACTCCGATTTTTTTTTGAGATAAAACCGTTCGAAAAATCCATAAATCTCCCGTAAAATCTCAGAGTAAAATTTATTTCAGCACAATAAAAATTGATTGAATATACTTTAGATTAATTATATTATACACACTCCATATTTCCATATTTTAAATTGCCGCTTTTCAATAAAAAAATTTGCGTTTTATTTAGAAACTCGCCGCCGATGAACGTACTCTCCGTATTCACAATTCTGTGCGAGTACAAAAATAAAATCATTGTTATCGTGGAACAAATTTGTGGAAAATTTGCGTTTTAAAAAAAATAACACAAACGTAAAGGCAACACAAACGTAAAGGCGTTTACGGCCTAAATAACACGTCCGCTGATAAAGCAATCGCGCGCAAGTTCCTATCGAGAATGTTTTCACTCAACGAAAACGTCTTGAAAGCGGCGGCGTCACAGAAATATCCGATATTCTTTAAACGCTAATTCAGATATTCGAATAACGAGATATTCGAATACTTTATTCAAATTGGCCATCCCTGATCATAATATCTATCCCCGAGGATAAATATGAAAATCCTATATTTGCTATTTACCGGTGTCTTAAAATAGAATGTTTGCAAGCGCATTAAATAACCACCAGCAAGACAGCTTACTGGTAACCGTACCGCCATCATCTAACATTCTATGTACCAGTACGGTACTGTCAAAGTGTCTAACTGTAGACAAGTTATTGCGCATTGCCGATATTGAGACCCAGACTGTCTCAGTGATGTTGTCTCAGCGTAAAGCGTATTCTTGAAATCACAGAACTGATATATTGCATGACCCAACTTTATTATTTTTAGATGAGTGTATTATCTCACTATAATCCATTTCTACTCATGGATGAACTTCTACTCATGAAAGGTCAGAAACTATGTAACAGCCAATCGGCCATTATTGTTTCCACAAACTGGAAAACACTATTGAATCATGATCTGTATGTCCTGCAAAAAAGCCTGTGGCACATATTTTGCTTGACTGATGATATTCCATTTAAAGTTACTGATCAAGCAAGAATTATTTAACACAACGAGCTAAAAATCACACCGCAGGTAACTTACAGTACCGGTACATTTAAGACAGTACGGTAATACCGGTACCGATATTGCACTGCTTTTCGGTGCCAACTAAAACATCTAAACATTCTGATTGACCCCTTTCTGCCTTCCAACTTGTATAATTTATCAATGTGAATTGTCATGGCAGTTTTTATCGGAAAAATTTTGAGTAATTTAAATTGCAAGTAATTTCCTCATATGTTGACTCAAATCTTTTTTTTTTGCCAAATAAAGTCCAATGCCAAACGGAATTTTCGTATAGAGATTTTAGTGTCGAATTAGTAGTAGTTATTTTTTTTTTTCAATTACGGTAAACAGTTTTATAATTTCAAACACATTCCCCACAAGTTCAAATAATCTAAGTAACAATTAAATATGTGACATTTAAAATATAAATTACCATTACCAGAATTTCGTATCATATATTACCTAATGTATGTCCATTGAAAATACGTTAATCCATATTATCATACAGTCATCATCCAATTCATGCACATTTTATATATCTATCATTAATTAATAGAATTAGTTAACTTTGCATTGAAATAAGAAAAATTAGACAGAAAACAACCAAAGTGGGTTTTTGGCACTTTTTTATATACTACCTATGTATGACCAAAATTCAGACATTCAAATCTTTTCATATAATCTGCATTTAAGTTGATGTTGCATAGAAAACGTCACATCATGATTGATCTATGTATGAGATCATCCATGTGTTCATATAATAATAAATCATCTCTTTCACATGCTTTTAATAAATTTAAAATTCCTATCAGTTTACATTTGAATATTAAATTTACTTGACTATTTCATCATATTTTACTGAATTTCGATATTCCAATATTGTTGATATTCCGCCTATTATCGTAATTAATTTGGATTTGCACTCCGAATAATTTGCTAAAATAGTATTCTGATTATTTTCTATGCAACACCATTGCCAAAAATCTATGGTCCACTCACACTCTAAAAATAAATGACATACAGTTTCCTCAATATTATCTTCACACATTACACATATACCTGGTTCATTAATGAACCAGTGTTTAATTTTATCCCTGTTGGCAGTCCATAATGAACAAGAGAGCTATGCTCAAATATATGGACACGTTTAAAGTAAATGGCAGGTTCGAATCCCATGCGGGATGGTTATGTGCAAGAGGATTGCAGGACTCCTCGCCGCCGTTGGGTGGTTCACATAACCGCTGGTCGATCACGGCTCCCTCAACCATCAAGTCCATGCTTCGGAAAAACAAATACCTAACTAATCACAAAACCGACATGGAATGGTAACCGGACGAGATGCCGTTGTTCGCCATATGATTAAGCCGTCAAATCGGCCTTCCTCTCCCCCGGGATAAATATGTAAATCCTATCCTATGTCAACTTTTGAGCCAAATAAACATACACACGTAATGCTTTAAATCAAAAAGGTGAATTTAAAGTTTGATAGCGTGAATTTGCAGACATAATTTCATGACAGGTGAATAGAATACTTATATCAACCCAAAGGTAGGAATACGCTTGTCACCACACCTCCGATTGCCTTGCGTGGGTTCGCAGGTTTGAGTCCCATGGGGCAAATAAGACTCCCCACCACCATCGGGTAGTTCACATAAACATTGGCCGGCTACGGCTTCCTCTACCTTCGAGTAGTTCATCTGAAACCAAACAACTGACTGGTAATAGGGGAAAACACAGTGGAACGCCATACGATGAAGTCATATTATCGGCTTCCCTCTCCCTCGGGGAAAAATATGCATATTATATCCTATTAAATCCCAACCAGGCTTCGACAAAAGCTACCGAATCTGAGTTTGTTTTCCTGTCAACTTGAAAAGTGGGTTGAATGCAAGATTATCTGTGAAATCTGCACTGGTCTTTGATCCTGCCAACTCCAAAAGTGGGTTGAATACAACATTCATCTGTGAAATCTGCACTGGTCTGAGGACTTCTGACTGATTGCTAGGGATTTTGCTCTGATCAAACTCTCAAAATCCACCTTACCCAGTGTGGAAAATAATACGCTGTTAAACAATAGTTGGGATTATCGTATTTCTCCACGTATAATACGCACTTTTGAGGCCAATCTTGGAGTTCAAAATAAGGGGGTGCGTATTATGCATTGACATAGAAAACATCAAAAAAATAATAATCTTTATTTTATGCTTAACTGAGTAATAATTCTCACATATATTAATTTTAAGTTTGAATTTCATTTAGCAAAGTCATGCCCAAGCAACATGCCAAGAAGCATGCCCAATCCAACGAAATATAGCATTAGTAGAAGTAGAAAGAATCTTAATCAATTCATTATCTCAAATATCCGGAAAAACAGTGAATTAAAAGTGATGAGAACAGCTCTACATGCCAGACTGGATTCCATGGCAGGTGCACGCCCGAGGGCGCTAGCGCTCCGCAAAAATGCACGCGAGCGAAATCAATTTTGCACGCCGAAAATTTGCAACTGCTCACCAATGTAAATCGGTTTAAATGGTTTTAAAATCAATAATCCAGTAATATAAAGATGCCAAAATATTATAACTCCACAATTGTCGACAAATACCAGCCTGCAAGATTTGGTCTGATCGAAATGTTGCGAAGCAAAAAGACCATGGACCTTTCCCCAACCTTTGACCCGCGAAAAATTCCTCTCATTGTTACGTCCTTTTTTGCATCTTGCTGATTGGCCAATGTCACGAAGTAAACAAGGAAGTCGATGCTCGGGGAAAGGTCCATATCGTGTTGAATGATAGGAAATAGGAATCCCGTGAGAATAGTTATGGACGAAAAGATCGCCTCCGCACCAATGGCCAAGTACGGCTCTGATTCAGCGTATTTTTCATACAATAATTTTACACGAATGTACTGAACAGTACCGGTATCTAAAGTTGCTCAAACACTCCCAAAATTAGTGACAAAGTATGAAAATAATGTTTGGGGTCAAAGGTCAAACGTCCATTTTGCTCTAATTTGACGTATTTTTTATCCATTAATTCTACGTAAAAACACTACCAAAATTAATGACAAAGTATGTCCATTTTGCTCTGGTTCAACGTATTTTTTGTCCAATAATTTTACGCGGATGTACTGAACAGTACCGGTATCCAAAGTCGCACAAACACTCTCAAAATTAGCGACAAACTGTAGAAATAATGTTTGGGGTCAAAGGTCAAACGTCCATTTTTTCTCTGATTCAACGTATTTTTTATCCGATACCGGTAATTTTACGCGGATGTATTGAGAGGTATCTGATGTCAAAGTCAGTTGCACGCGAGTGCAGTTGTTTTGCACGTCGTGAGCTATAATTGCACGCCAGGAATTCTTATTTGCACGCGGGAATTTCTGATTGCACGCCCGATTTCTCGTTCAAAAAGGCCATGAAATCCAGACTGGTCTACATGGTTAACTGCTGTCATTGTCTTGCCTTTTCTCATCCAGAAACGGCAAAACTTCAGGGTCATAAATCACTAAATGTTACTCAAATTTGTGACCAGTCGGTGACCTCTCTCTGAAGTACAGTGGTTGAAAACACGCTCTGACGATGGGCCTTATCAGCTTTTTGAAAGATCAGAGACAATTAACAGCATGGTACTTTAATGTCAAATAACATCACATCATGATCGGCAGACGGCTACACCGTAAATACATTCAACAACATATTAATTAGGAGATATAGTTATCAAAAGGTAGACAGAATGCCTGAAACGTTAGTATAAATGATTTTCATTGAAAACCCGTTGATAACACAACTAAACTTTGTCCTCGGTATGAGTTCGCTCATGTATACGTAAATTGGATTTATCCGAGAAAGCTCTATCGCATTGTTTACAAATATACGGTTTATTCCCTGTATGAATTCGCTCATACCTCTGCAAACTAGATAGTCGTGAAAAACCCTTTCCACATTGTTTGCAAGCTTTTTTTTTTTGCTTTAGTATGAGTTAGTATATGATCTTGTAAACTAGATGATCGTTTATTTAGGCCGAAGAGTTTCCACAATGTTGCTTGTTACATATTTGTTTAAATCTCCAGATCCATAATCATTTTCATCGTGATTGTACAAAAACATATGCTTTTCCAAACTGGACCCAGATGAAAAGTTTTCATCACAGATAACACAGGGAAATGTATTTTCAGCGGATTCCAGGATTTAGATAGAATTTTCCTTAACTAAAAATAATCACAATTCACAATCACTGAATATTGCTTAAGATACAAATAATTCACATTTGTAATTAGCTTATTTCATGATGCAGAATATCCAAAAAAATGTCATAAAATTTAGTGCAGTAAAAAGCAGTTAAATCTATGACTATGTGATGTCTATGAGACTAGGAAAATTTGTAATCTCCTTATACAAATTGTGAATGAGCTGCTTGCCGCTCAATGAGAAGCTGAGTTTTCTGGTGAAAAGCCTCTAATTAAAATTCAACCAAACTTCCCAGTAATTCTCTTCTAGCAAGGTTAATTTCACTTTAGGGAATGCAATTACCAATATAAGATTTCACAATGTCACGAGTGTCTATAGTGTAGTAATGCTCTTTCTAATGATATTCAATTTGTCATACATCTGCTGACTCATAAAAAAATGTAAGCACGATCACAAGTTTGAAAAACCATGCGATTATCACATATTCATGAATGAAAGCAACTGGATCACAGATACTGTACCGGTATTGTTAGAGTCACTCTAATCAAAGGCTATGTACTTTACCTTAAGTCCTGAATTTTGTGATCACTACTACTATTTCCTCACTAACAGTTTTAATAATCTAGAAACAGTACCTACCGGTACCGGTACCGGTACGGTACCGGCACCGTACATTTTATACTGGTACCGGTACACTTCCTTTCTTTAATATTTGAAAGAGTTATCTTTACTTCGGTTCTATAGACAAGACCAGAGCATAAATGAATGTTAGGGTATTTGGAAAGCTGTTTTCATATTCAAACTCCCTGAATCCGGAACGGCAGAGCAATCTAACTTATGTAGGCAAAGACAAAAAGCAGTCGTATTTCTGGTCGCTAAAGCAACTGTAGAATGATTTATTATACAAAATTTATCCTACGCGGAAAATTTACATATGGCATATATACGTAGATAGTTTATTTCGAAAACTCCACAATCTGACAATACAAACAGATTAAAAATGGATAATTCTGGAGAGCGAACAAAACATTTAAAAAAAATTTAAAACATGATGAGTATAATGTGCCCGCTCACCAACACGCATTCATACCAAAAAACACAAATCTTGTTAAACAAGGCTTGGTTCAAAAATAAACACACACAAAAATAGATAGATACTTAGGGTTAGTTACGCGAATGTAATAAACTTTCGGACTGTTGTATACTTTTAAAACAGCCTGAAAGTTTGTTACATTCGCGTATATATATATAATATTTGAAATGGGTTTTCTTTCAAGTATCGACTTTCTTTGATATTTATTCAGTTTTTGTTCCCTAACAATGGCTTATCATTACCCATAACCTAACGATGATTTAACAATTGTAATCTAAGCAGCCGTTCAAGCATCAATTTGCGGATGGACGTTTTTAAGTTGACAAACAACTCGCCAACACAGTTTAGGTAGTCGAGTTATCCGCCCTGTCGCTTTGATTGGACGTGATACGACTTACATATTCATTATTCTGCAGACACTGTTGAGTTTCTATAAGTATATTCAGATTTTCCCGCAAAAAAATATACACAAAACACAAACACACAGAAGATTGGGAAAATTCTAAGGAAATTATACCCACATGCACGCTACTGTAAGAATCGGTAATAATTTTGCTGATAATACCGTGCAATACATTGTTGTATTTATTTTGTTTTTAAAAAAAATAAGATAATATGTAGGACAAGATAATTTTGCTCACTGACCTAAAATAAGTCTAAACATACAGGGCGAAAATTGCCAATTGCAGTTAATATTATCGAATTTAGTTAATATTTCAACTTCACAAGCATGATTTAGACTTTGAATTATTTTTAAATTGATGCCAACACAATCATTAAGGCGAAACGAAAGGTGTAAGACTTGTAATTAGACGTCATGCCTTCGGGGCACCATAATACTGATTACGCCAAAATAAAACCAAATAAGGGTGAGGTGATTATAGCTTATTTGCATTTGACAATATGGTGTCAATTATATACCAATTCACTCAATCTTTCGACTTCGTAAACGTGCCTTGAACTTAAAAGCGCTAACATTATAGTTGAAACAAAACAAAAGATAAAAAAAACTGCATTTAGACTATTATTTTTGAGAATGACTGCTTTACAACGCCGTGCCCTCGGGGCACCCACATATTGATTAATAAATTAACAACTCGATATGCGTGCGCTGTTACTTGTACTTTGTTTGGCTTGTCCGGTATACTTATCAATCGATCTTGATCGCTAAGTATGTTGATAGGTATTTGCATGTGCATTCATCATATCTCGGACCAGAAGCCTATTGATTTTGGATGAATTATCGAGTTATTAATTAATTAATATTTTTTTTTTCGTTTTTTTATAATTAGCAAGTTATCAATGTATTAATCATTTTTTTTTGCGGCCGATCGATGAGTCTTCGGTCTCCGACCGATATTCTCGTTTGTATAATTGGTCATCGGCACGTACGGTAGACGCATAACGACGCTTCACTTTAGTTTTTAGTTACATGAACACATTTGCGCGCGGTCTAATGGCCGTGTGCGTGAAAACCTACAGTGATGATAGCAAAAAAGTCTCAAAAAATATTACCATCATTGTACGTTTGGAAGATTTGTATGACACCGAAGACCATAGCTTTTCATCGAAGATATGAAATTTTCCCAGCGTATTATGTCAATCACAAATATGTTAACATTGGTTATTCTATTCTATTACAATGGTGCCATTTACAATGCCAACATTTAATATTCATATTTAGATATTCTGCATTATGGAAACTTAATTAGAAATGAAAGAAACCATCAAAGACGTATTTCCCTGCCTCATCTGTGATGAAAACTTTTCATCAGGGGACCCGGCTTGGAAAAGCATATGTTTTTGCACATTCATGATAAAAATGATGAGGCTCGAGATTTGAGCGAATATGCAGCTAAGAGCAATGCTTTTTCTCAACAAACTTGCGGCGAAGAGAAATCTAAAGTTCATCCACGCTGTATCCAAACTGATTCAATTGATAAGACTGACAAACCACGTAATTGTCATGAAATAAAAGTAACCTCTCTTCTGGACGGAAAGTTGCAAAATCAGTCACTTGTTCACACCAACACAAAAGCTCGGTCAAATGTAGAAACCCATTGTGAGTATGAACCTCATCTTTGTAGACGAGGTGGAAAGGATTTATTCAACTTATGTGTGCATGAACAAACTCATACTGAAAAGAAACCCTATATTTGTAAAGATTGTGGGAAGGCTTTTTTGTATTCATCTACTTTACAAACGCATGTGCGAATTCATACTGGAGAGAGGCCTTATATTTGTAAAGAATGTGGTAGGGAAATTATCACTGTATCTAATTTACATAGGCATGAGCAAACTCATAATGGAGAGAAGCCTTATATTTGTAAACAATGTGGTAAATCATTTTCGCAATCATCTACTTTAAATGTTCATGAGCGAATTCATACTGGAGAAAAGCCTTGTGTTTGTGAACAATGTGGAAAAAGATTCTCAAACATATCTGATTTACATAGGCGCGAGCGAACTCACACTGGAAAGAAGCCTGATGTTTGTAAACAATGCGGCAAGAACTTTTCGCAATCAACTGGTTTGCACGTGCATGAGCGAACACATTCGGAAGAGAAACCTTATGTTTGTAAACACTGTGGTAAAGGTTTTTCGCACATATCTAATTTACATATCCATGAGCGAATTCATACCGGAGAAAAGCCTTATGTTTGTAAAGAATGTGGGAGTAAATTTCCTCATGTATCAAGTTTACATAGACATGAGCAAACTCATCGGACTGGAGAGAAACTTTATTTTTGTCAACAGTGTGGAAAGTTTTTTTTTGCGATTATTCAATTTACAAGTGCATGAGGAAACTCATACTGGAGAGAGGCCTTATGTTTGTAAACAATGTGGTAGTGAATTTTCGCATGTATCGAGTTTACTTAGGCATGAGCGAACTAATGAATCTCATGATACTATAGAGATTTCTTATGTTTGTAAACAACATGGAAAAAAATTTCCGCGACTATCTCATATGTCGGCTCATGAGCTTATTCATACTGGAGGAACCTTATGTTTGTAAACAATATGGAAAGGGTTTTCCGCAATTATTTACACTGAAAGCGCATGAGCGAACTCATACTGGGGAGGAGCCATATGTTTGTAGTAAATGTGGTAAAGGGTTTTCGCAATCATCTAATTTATATGTTCACGAGAGAAATTATACCGGAGATAATCCTTATGTTTGTAAACAATATGGTAAAGGTTTTTTGAATTCAACCGATTTACATAGGCATGAGCGAAGTCATCATACTGGAGAAAAACTTTATATTTGTAAACAACGTGGTAAGGGCGCGCACTCATAAAGGTGAGAAACCTTATGTGTGTAAAGGGAATTTTCTCATGTATCCAGTTCACACAGGCATGAGCGAACTCATCATACTGCAGAGAGGCTTTATGTTTGTAAACAATGTGGAAAGAATCGTTAGAAAAACATTTGCTGATTCACACACGCAAAAGACTCTAGAAGCATGAATAATGTAGAAAAGAAATCCTACCCAAGGATAAAAATAATTGAATCGCAATGATTTTAAAATTTACTTTTATTGTTTTCAAAAAGTAAAATTGAATTGAAATTTTTTTTTAAATGATTCACGTAGTTTTCTTATGATGATAATTTTGGCATTTATGTACATAATATCAGCTACGCGCATTTGAGTAACATCGTGATTATTGTTGGAATGTGATTAAGTATTATAACATTTTCTGTGTTTTAATTTACATTAGAAAAAAGGTGAAAGTAATAATTGTTTTATTGGGCATTATTTCTCACATATTGGGCGAAAGGTATTGAATCCGGTTTATTTACCCTGCTAGGACAGTGATTCTTGAACTTTTTCTCAATACGCTTCTCTAAATGCATTGTTAGTCCGCCCTCAATTTACTAATAAATATTACATTATATTTGCCGTCAATAGTTTTTTTCTTCACAATAAAAGATTATGATATTGAACCTTTGTGTGCCTAAATCTGACACTTCTGAATATTGGGTTTTTCGCAACAATAAACACGAAAATTAACTCGATTATCATTCACTGAATCAAATATGACATCTCAAGAATTCTCAATGTAGTTCTTTATCTCGTTCGACTGTCAGATGGGAAAAATTTATATATTTTTTTACCCCATTTTTGTGAAACAAGTGTAACTCATCTACTAATGAAGTATTGAAAAATAAATAACGCTTCTGTGACCACCATCTTTAACATTTTATTTTCTGAACTAAATTATGTCAAAAAATCTGTGTCTCTTCTACAGTTGACTTTTGTAAAACCCCTTTGCTAGTATGCTTTACCATCACTAACCTTTTGACAATTTGGTAAATATTTTTTCTAGGTAGACCTTGCAAAACAGTTTACATAATGATAACCTCCGATTTGCTTAAAAGCATATAACCACTTATCAGCGAAAAATACTGGAAATAAACTTATTCTATATCATTTCAGCTTTAGATACACTGTTGTTATTAAACTAAAAATTCTCCAAAAAATAGATTGCTAAGCTATTTGATTGAAATTTTCGAAGTCAACTCAGTATATATATTCTGAATAGTAGAAAAAACACAACCGTATACAAATTACGAGAAAATGATAATTTTGTTTTACTGAGGGAGGGAAGCCTCATGGAATGGTTATCGAACAGCGACACTAAACGCTTATAAATTTGTCCGAGTGGGTTAGAGAAGATGTAATTTAATCTCAGGGGAGAGGAAAGCTGATAAGTCAGCTTAACGGTATGGTGGATCACGGCTTTCGTCCGATCACGCGTCCTTGGACTTGCATGCAGTGGTCCAGTCGTCGGAGTCTATCATTTTTTTAAACATCAATTAATCTCAGTGGGATTCGAACCTGCGAACCCGCGCAGAGTAATCAGGGATCCATTCACCAATATTTATTACAATTCAATGTATTAGTAAAGCCCCAACTTTCTCGTAAAATGAGAAATGCGTGGGTGGTTATGTGCGAGAGTCGGGAGAATGGCGTGAGAGGCTGTGATTCGCCATATGATTAAGCCGCTTTATCGACTTCCCACTCCCCGGGATAAATATGTAAATTGAATTCTATCCTGACGATTGCGAGTGATTAGACGTGGTTTTCTTCAACGACGATCGTGTGTAAGATATCGAGGATGAGCGAAAGTTTTTACAAGATCTTCCATGAATCGCACGTGTTGGAGAGATACAGTTACGTGCTCGTAAACCTTCTTTATGAAGTTAGACCAGGGGTGCACAACCTGCGGCCATCGAAGGTAAAATCTGGGGCCGTGCTGGTGTGAGAAGGTACCATGTGTGCATAAATAAATTTTTAACATCGGTGATTGTGATATAGTTTCCAACACAGAAATTTAATTGTTAAATTTTGGCGATTAACGTAATCTATTTTTTTTGTTGCGGGATCCCGAAACAAAAGTCATGGGGATAATATTTTATAACATCGTTTTCAGTTTCAGTAGTTACTCTCCTATTTTGTGTCCAAAATTCAAGTTGCAGATTCGCTCTATTATAATCTCAAGCGTCTCGTCACCGAAGACCAAGGATTAGTTAACGAGTTTTTAACAGAGGACACCCAGGTCAGGGCGGGAAAAAAACAATTATTGGTGTCTTTGAGGCACAAAACGTACGAGTGTAAGAGCGGATAGGGATTTTCAAAAATATAGTTTACAGACACAATCGATGTTAACGGTCCAAATGACCACATCAAGCGTACCGAATCAATCAGTGACTTGAATGAAAAAAGCTTCGCAAAATTATTGTCTAAAGTATAAATTCTTTAATTAATCCTGAAAAGGCCTGTTGTCGATGATCGATTAGGAACTTACGCGTTTATATGATTAAACGCACAATTTTGCAAGAAATAGAACATTTAATTCTGATGTACGCTGCTGCTAAAGGATGTGAGATAAGGAGTATCTGCGGGAAGATATTTATCCAATGCCTGCAAAGTTATAAACGCTGACGAATAATATCAGCAATTATAACGTAATAAGCAAAGTAAATATTTTTTGCGTTGTCAACAACTTCGGAATCACAGTAATTCTCAGCGGACTGCCGACTGTATATGAAATCTGAATATCTCTCATTCATTAAAATTATTCGATGCAATAAAATACTGACCACTAAAAACTTTGATTTTTCATATATGTTTAACTTTTACCATTTCATGCACGTTTTAGACGCAAGTCAATAACATATATCAATAAATACCAATTCTATAATTAATAAATAAAGCTCATAAAAAATCTCGATCCCACTGGCGGCCGTAGACTTTTTACAAAAACATAATGCGGCCGTCTAAAGAGAAAAGGTTGTGCACCCCTGAGTTAGACAAATGACCCTCCAGAGGTGCCAACAACGCTCAGCACGATGCACAACCGTGCGGCCCCGATAAAGTTTTGCGGCTCGCTGGAGTTTTTACGCGGCTCTTCTCGCTGGCAATAATTATTATTCAAATTTGATTAAGAGGAACTGTAGCGTAAATTGTGTTTCAGTAAGAAAATCGCAACGTGGAATTTAAAGTTCAAACTGTCAAACGACAAATCTTACATCACAATGATCAAATGTTTGTTGCTGCGTTGGCGGTTTGTTGTAGCTTTATTGCGGTTAGTCTCAGTAACAGTGCGATATGTCCTGCGCTGCATTGACTACATATCACAAAACTTTCAGATAAGATGGAAACACACAAGTCAACTTCTTCTGATATGGCATCGCAATATATACTTTGCAATACTGTTAATATACGTTTGTTTTCAGTTCACAGTATTCTAATATTATTGATTCCTAAATCATGCGGCTCTCACATATTTGTGACTTGGTGCATGCGCGGCTTTTATACCAAAAAATTTCGCCCATCCCTTTCATACTGTGTGCCTCAAGAGATTCTCAGGTGTGCCGAGGAGCGGTTTGAAATTTTGGAAACTAGGCCATTTGTATTACACATAGGCATGCATGCAACGGGCAAGCTTGTGAGACGTGAGTATGCAGTATTGGGCTGGTTATATTATTGCATTTGCCTTGTCGTTGTAGTAAAGATGATCGTCACGGTATAATTATATTATGTCATAATCAACCAATCATTTATTTTGGTTCTCTGACAAAACAAAATGCAGAGATACCTGGGAGACGGGCATAACTCAAAATGAAGTTAAAAAGCGAACAATGTATGTGCCCGCCAGGGATGGCCAATTCGAATTTGGTATTCGAATATCTCGTCATTCGAATATCGGATATTTGTGTGACGTCACACATTTTCGACGCCGCTCTCAAGATGTTTCCGTTGAATGAAAACATTCTCGATAGAAACTTGCGCGTGATTGTTTTCATCACTCATCTGCGTAACGTGTTATTCAGGCCGTAAACGCCTTTACGTTTGTGTTATTTCCTTTAAAACGAAAATTTTTCACAAATTTGTTGCACGTAACGAAGACAATTATTTTATTTTTGTACGCGCACGGAATTGTGAATCTGGTAAATACGTTCATCGGCGGCGAGTTTCTAAAGACAACGTAACTTTTTGATTGAAAAGCGGCAATTTAAAATACTGAAAATAAAACCGTAAACAATATAAGTTTTATTGAGGCCCTCGAAAATTTGCAAAACGCTTTTCTAGGCAGCGAAAATCGCAGAATTTCGTGTGCCTCTGGCACACATTATGTTTGGTCGGCGTTTAGAAACATATCGTCACGAATTGAGGGCGGGATTTGCCTGATTATCCATTACTTCAAATTGCCGTCGAATATTTTCAAAGTATATTTAATCAATTTTATATTGATGAAATAAATTTCACTCCGAGATGTTACAGAAGATTTACGGATTTTTCGAACGGTTTTATCTAAAAATAATGGCAGAGTGGCAGCATTTCGATTGAGTACATCTAAATATTTGCCGAATTCGCAAAATACGGATCAAAACATTATTTAATCGGGCAGTTTACCACACGTTTTTATTTTTATGACCACGGATTGCAATGGTATATAAGAGTGGTGAGGATTTTATTTTGTCGACGCAACCGCAGGTTAAATTGAAGACAATTAAATTAATAATGAAGCAAGACATTTTAAATATGCCCGTATCGGTCACGAATTCATCACTTTGCACAACAGAAAAATATATTGTTATATTATTTGTTGTAAAAGTCGACTCTTTTAACAGGTAGCATAATCGCGGCGATGAATACGTATTTTCAATTTACTGCTAAACTTTATATTTATATTCATTGTATGAAATGAATTATACTCTACACTTAACAGGTTTTCATATCATTATTTGAGATTTTTCTAACGGCGATAACGAGTTGGCAAGATTGCAAAAATAAGTATTAAAATTAAATACATCAGGCAGTTTATCTCGTACTTTTAGGTCACAGATCGCCGTGGACCGAATAGTAATGTTTTTTTTTGACGTAAGAAGAAGCAACCGCGAGTTACGTTGGACACAACAAATTAATATATAAAGATATTTTAGAAACTCGTAGTTGTCATTGATTGAATATTTTACGTAACAGGATGATCATTATACGCTGAAAAGACGGCTCTTTTAACGAGCGCGGAATCGCGGTGGGTGTTACCAAAGTCACTTTGGGTGTTACAGGCGGCAATGGGAATTTCCGATTTCGAAAATCCCCCTGCTGCGCGGCTGGCAGTGGTGGTCATTTATCCTCTACTAATTTATTTCTAATTTCAAACACAACAATATGTTACACATAATAACAATATGGTTCACATAAATTATTATACAAATATACTGGTAGGTAGTAGAATACTCTATGCTTAAATATTAGAATTTGTAAAGGCATAATGGATTTTCGATTGTTGTTGCTTGTTTCAGTTGCCTGTATTGCCAATAAATTTTATTACTCTCAGAAAATATACACAATTATCTGAATACAAGTAGTATTTTTGTCAACAGACTTGACTATTATCATAATATCAATGGTACCAGAAAGCGTCAGACAACTCCTTGGCTATCTTTTCATATGGTCATTTGTACAAAGTGAATAATTTTGATAAACTGACTGTGTCACAAGTTGCTATTATTTTTTATTGATAGCAATAAACTATCAATTATCTTGTGTACATATATTGTTGGTTTGTGGCTTTATTCTGATATTTTTATTGAAGCTTATTCCCTAATTTACTGGGTTTTAATAAACTAAACAAAAATGTGTTATTTTCGATTTTAGAATGTATTCGGAATTCCAGATTCGAAAACATTATTTTAGAATGTATTCGGAATAGTTTAGTATTCGGAAATGGCCATCCCTGGTGCCCGCCCACCAAAAAAAGTAGGTAATTGAATGTAATAAACTTCTGACAACTGAAAATTTGAACCACATATTAGTATCCAACTAGGATTTATAGAGAGATCACCAGAATAAATATATAAATGAAGCCGATTTTGAATTGCTCGGCGGTATGGCGCATCGTGATAAGCGTTAGGAATACGCTCTCTGATTACCCTTCGTGGGATCGCAGGTTCGATTTCCATGCGGGAATGATCATGTGCGAGAGGATTGCTGGACTCCTTGTCGCCGTGGGGTGGTTCACGTAACCGCTGGTCGGTTACGGCTTCTTCCACCATCAAGTCCATGCTTTCGAAAACAAATAACTGGTTAACTAATCCCATACCCGACCTTGACTGGTAACCGGACGAGAGTCTTTTTCTACCCCAACCTCAATTGTGAGGCGCGTAGAAGGAAAAAAGGGAGCGATAAAACCTCGTTCCAATCGTTTTTTAAAACAGGCACATCGCATTAACATTTGCGGAATAACTTGTTCAAAGACACTAAACGAGCAAAAAAAGTTCGAGAACCACTGCCATATACACTTCCGTCTTTAGTCCTTCATTATGTTACCGTCATTAGCATTTGATCATTAACACTCCCAGTTTTCAAAGCACAATAAATATCACATTGTCCACATTAAATGAAAAATATTTAATCTCATCGGTTAATTTCAAACTTTCAAAATAAAAAAAATAGTCATCTGACATATGTGAGTTTAAGTTGAGAAATTCCGCCCCAATGTTATCGAATTATGGTGTTACAAAATAAAATTACAACATGTATGTACAAAAATTTATACAAAAACAAACGAAAAAAATATATTGAAATTGACTTATCTGATAACTAAAGCTAGCATCATCTGGTAAAATCCGAATTGGATTATCATTGCCGTGTTTGGCTAATTGTTCAAGATCTTACTTTAAAAATCTCCTGAACAAAATTAAAACGAAAAACTGAACTTTTAAAATATTGCTTTTCTCTCATTTATTTTTCTCTTAATATAAAGCCAAACGCACGAATGAATATGGCAGAATATATTTTGAAACTCGTAAAACATTTCCAAAGTTTTGACTTTTTAAACTATTTATTTTTAAATTCAATCAAAATTTCAAAAGAATATGAGTAGCTTATACCTGCATTATGATTAGGTTAAATATAAGGAAAACTTCTTCCAAACGATCCAATATGTAAGGAACCCACACAATAAATATCACATTGTCCACATTAAATGAAAAATATTTAATCTCATCGGTTAATTTCAAACTTTCAAAAAAAAAAAAATTAGTCATCTGACATATGTGAGTTTAAGTTGAGAAATTCCGCCCCAATGTTATCGAATTATGGTGTTACAAAATAAAATTACAACATGTATGTACAAAAATTTATACAAAAACAAACGAAAAAAATATATTGAAATTGACTTATCTGATAACTAAAGCTAGCATCATCTGGTAAAATCCGAATTGGATTATCATTGCCGTGTTTGGCTAATTGTTCAAGATCTTACTTTAAAAATCTCCTGAACAAAATTAAAACGAAAAACTGAACTTTTAAAATATTGCTTTCTCTCATTTATTATTCTCTTAATATAAAGCCAAACGCACGAATGAATATGGCAGAATATATTTTAAAACTCGTAAAACATTTCCAAAGTTTTGACTTTTTAAACTATTTATTTTTAAATTCAATCAAAATTTCAAAAGAATATGAGTAGCTTATATCTGCATTATGATTAGGTTAAATATAAGGAAAACTTCTTCCAAACGATCCAATATGTAAGGAACCCACACAAACTGTTGTTTTCCTGCCTATGTTGTTTTTGTAAACGCAGTCTATTCAAAAAGCGCATCACACATTGTTTACACAGTTAGGTTTGCTCATATCAACGTAATTTGGATTCTTTCAAGTATGTCTTCGCTCATGGGCATGCAAAGTGGATAAATGTGCAAAATGCTTACCACATTCTTTACAAACATAAGGTTTCTCTCCAGTATGAGTTCGTTCATGCACATGTAAATTAGATAATTGTGAAAAACTTTTTCCACATTGTTTACAAATATGTGGTTTCTCTCCAGTATGAATTCTCTCATGTTCAGATAAAGTGGATGATCGTGAGAAAGCCTTTCCACATTGTGTACAAACATAAGGTTTCTCTCCAGTATGAGTTCGTTCATGCGCTTGTAAATCAGATAATTGTGAATAACTCTTTCCACAGTGTTTACAAACATGAGGTTTCTCCCCAGTATGAGTTCGTTCATGCGCTCGTAAATTAGATAATTGTGAAAAACTCTTTCCACATTGTTTACAAACGAAAGGTTTCTTTCCAGTATGAGTTCTTTTGTGCACAAGTAAACTAGATGATTGCGTAAAACTTTTTCCACATTGTTCACAAATGAAAGGTTTTTCCCCAGTGTGAGTTCGCTCATGTATTGATAAAGCAGATGAATATGAAAACCACTTTTCGCATTGTTTACAAGAATATGGTTTCTCTCCAGTATGAGTTCGTTCATGCGCTCGTAAACCAGATAATTGTGAAAAACTCTTTCCGCATTGTTTACAAGAATATGGTTTCTCTCCAGTATGAGTTCGTTCATGCGCTCGTAAAATAGATAATTGTGAAAAACTCTTTCCACATTGTTTACAAACGAACGGTTTCTTTCCAGTATGAGTTCTCTTGTGCACATGTAAATTAGATGACTCCGTAAAACACTTTCCACAATATTCACAAACATGTGATTTCTCCCCATATTGATTAGAGGCACAAGGTTTTTTGCCGCAATGAGTTCGCTTATGCCCTTGTAAATGAGATAATCGCGTAAAACACTTTCCACATTGATTACAAATATAAGGTTTTTCTCCAGTATGAGTTCTTCCATGCCTCTGTAAATGAGATAATCGAGAAAAACACTTTCCACATTGTTTACATATATGAGGTTTCTCTCCAGTATGACTTAGCTCGTGCCTAAGTAAACTAGATAATTGTGAAAAATCCTTTCCACAATGTTTACAAGCATAAGGTTTTTCGCCAGTGTGAGTTCGCTCATGCTCTCGTAAATGAGATAATCGTGAAACACATTTTCCACATTGTTTACAAATATAGGGTTTATCTCTTGGAGGAATCCTCATATGCCTGTTTAAATTCCGCTTTGATTTGAAGCTCTTCCCTAATTGTTTGCAACTATATGATTCATCTCCACTGTTGCTTTTCAGATTAGGCATTGGTCCGGTGTTGGTATGGGCAAGTGACTGGGTTCGTGATTTCCCTTCCAGTTTAGTGGTTTAGCAAAACCGCTTCCTCTATTTTTTTTTCAGCTACACAACGTGAAGAAGTTTTACTTGTAATAGATTTTCCACAATTCTCCTCAGAGTTAGTAGGCTGACTAGTTCCAGCAATGTTGTTAGTCACATATTCGTTTGATTCTTCAGTGCGATAAGAATTTTCATCATTGTCAATGAGCAAAAACATGAACAGTTTTCAGCGCAGTTAAGGCAAGGAAATGCGTCTTTGGTAAAAATTTCCAAAATAAATAAAATCTAAAAACAATGGTAAATTTCAGTATTATGCACTTCTGACCATGAAATTGTCATGAAATTTATTAGAAGCATTAATATTTTTAATAAACTTATATTTTTCGTGCAAATTTCGATCGTCAGCTTGCTTCTAAATGAGAACCGTAAAACCGGCTAACTTCGGATGCTTTGTAACTTCGGATGAAATTTTCAATCGTTAATATTTCGACTAAATTACGTCATATTGTGCTTCTGGCAGTTTCTATAGCAAGGCCTTATATATCTAAATCTGTTATCATATTCAATCGCGCAATTTAATTTATTTTTTGATTAAAAAAATCACGTCTTAACCTAAAATTGACACTCCGTTTTTGCACGGCTCAAATCGTGACTTCTACTGATGCTAAGTTCCTCAAAATACTGTCATTCGATAGAGGGTGTTATCAATGTATATAGAAAATTAGACTGATCACGAGATGTCGCAGGAGACTCGAGAAAAAATTGAAATTCAAATAATAGCATCTGACCTACACGCTAAACTTGACGTCGCTCACTTTGAAGACGACATCATGTTGCGTCGCCGATAGGGATGCCACTTTTGGATTTACGGATCGATTCGAATCGCATCTTTTCTGAATCGATTCGAATCAGATTTACGCGATTCGGAAAAAGAGAGCGATTTACCGAAAAAAAAATTGAACGTTTGTTGAATCGTTGTTTTCGGCGGCGAACTGCCGAATGCGTTTATGCGGCACTCCAAATAACAACAAATTAAGGCACGGAAATAAATGGAAATGAATTTTTCGTGATTGACTTTTTTACTTATCTGCCGTCGTATGTTTCAAATTCGGCACAACACACTCTTTTACGCTCACTCGAGATGATGTGTGGCGTAATTTCCCCCAAACCGCGAGTTCAGTTTTCCACTGAATAGCCTAAGTTTCTATTATGCGCAAATTTAAATGGATCGTATATCTGAAAATTCGTGACAATTTTGAAAATTTTCAACAGCACACCTGCGCTGCGACTAAGTTATTGTACACTGCGGCATGATTGTATAAAGAATCAGCTACCGACGTCTCAGATGATATTTAATTTTGATTGAAATTTAATTTAAACTTTGTTCTGAGTGAGATATTTCGCGTACATTTGAAGAGAACTATTACTGAATGAGTTCATCGGCCAGCAATGTTAATTGAAAATCGTGTTTCTCATCCTAAAATATATATATTTATTTTATTTACGTTTGTCAGGCTTCCATTCGAGTGGCGGTGAACAAAAATATACACGTCTTTTACAGCTGTTACAAAAAAAAATTGGTATTTAATTTTAATTTTGTTAGGGCGATACAAGCGGGAATAAAACATTTCAGATTATTTCTAGCAAATGTCATAACGGACAGGTGGGAGTAAATAATACTTGGAGTGAATAATACTTGAGGAATGGTAACTTGTGCACTGTTTTACATCAACACGTGCCACATTGCAAACATTATCAAAACAATATCGGCTATAACGAAATCGGCTTTGACCCGTGAGTATTCGGATCCAAAGCTACGATAATCGAAAATATAACGAAACGTTTTAGAATAAAATCAACTTGAAAGTGCCGCACCGGAAACTGCACGGAGGTCATTATCATCGCCGCTCGCGACGTGGATTGAATATCTGGCATTTACGCAACGACATAAAGCGTGTTTTGTCTTCACGCACGCACTTTTCGCTCGAGTTGCGGTGACGCAGGGAGGTGATTCCCCATTCGAAGATAGATATTTAGTGGCGTAGTGAAAAATGAGACAATTAAGACATAAAAAATGATCTGATCGACGAGAAAATTAAATGCATGTACAGAGAATTACACCAATGTTATATATTTCAAGTTTGACGCAAATCGGACAACAAACGGCTGAGTAATCGATTAAAGTATAGTGAAATCATCCGAAGTCAGCCATTTCACAGAAGCTAGTTTTATATGGCCCACAGTCTATGTTTGAGCATGTTTTCAGTGCTCAACTATTTGCAAATGCACCAACAAGACAACTGGTCTCATGTAGTTTCGTACCTAACATACTTCCAGTAGGCGTAGCGTAACAATTTTTTCATGTGTCAATCCTAACCCCCACCTGACCACACCATCCAAAAATTACGTCACAGTGACGTAATACAGCCCTTCAAACCATGCGAACTGTCACCCAAGATGCGCAGACGAGAACCTGAAATCGAACAGTCATTTCTCTCGTTTTCCTGTCGCAATGATCCCGGTAGGAGAGAGATACCGTAAACGCAGGTAACTTCGGATGAAATTTTCAATCGTTTATATCTTGACTAAATTATGTCATATTTTGCTTCTGGCAGTTTCTATAGAGTGTCCTTATATATCTAAATCTGTTATCATATTCAATCGCCTAATCTTATTTATTTTTTGACACAAAAAATCACATTTTAGCCAAAAATTGACACCTTGTTTTTGAGCGGCTAACATAGCGAATTCTGCCGACGCTAACTTCACTAAAAGACCGTCAATCGCTAGAGGGCATACACAATGTACAAGGAAAATTACAGTGATCACGAGATGTCGTGTGTGATTCAAGTAAAATATATTATTTTAATTTAAAAATTTCGTCAAAATATCGACGTTACGATGCTTACGCTGAACGTGACGTCAACAACGTGATTCAATTTCGCTCCATTTAAAGCCGACGTCACATTGCGTAACTCGCTGCGACATTTGAACGCCAGACTATGTGGCGCCACGTGTAGTTAAATATAAAGTGAAAGCTCCTACCTGATCCTAGTCACCAAATCCTACAAAAACTTCATTATAGCCCCATTGTGAATCCGTTTAATGCACATCAAATTTGTGCGTTAATATTTTTGCATTCATTCTCCGAACGTATAGATGTTGTTGATACGTAAGGCTAATGAACAGCCAGTTACGCGTATCTATACTATCACAATGATAAAGTATGTATGTTTACGATGATAATATTATAAGCGTAGAATGTTGCACAGGTGAGCATGAAACTCAGGTGCACTCAGTAGGAGGTTGGACCACATACGAGTAGGTCGCAAAATGAAGAAAAGAGTATCAAAGTTTCTATTTGGCGTTTTTATCCGTTTCATGTCATTTGACTTTGTCTATCTGCCTGTGAATACATTATATCTGAATTATGAACACGAGCCACAAGCTACACCGTTCCATATTGTTTTCCATTTCCACTGCCATTTTTTACTACCTATCGTAATTCATCATTGTTTTTTTTTTTTAATTTCATTCGTTTCATTTTTGTTTCGTATTAAAAATTGTTTTCCACTTCCATTTTTACGACTTAGTTTATTCGTCTGTTATTTTATTTTCATTTTTCCCATGTTGTCTAAGTTTTGTTTTGTATTAAAACGATCATATTAGCAAAATCTAGCACTTTCATGAAATTAAGAATAGTCAGAAGTAAATGGTTTAGTTTTGCGAAATGTCAGAAATAGCGCTGGGCAAAATTATCATAAATTATTACATGCGTTGTATTTTGAAGCATTTTAGCGGTAATAATTATGGCGTGACACTGTCAAAATCGTCGAGTAAAGTGCTGAGTTCGCAAATTCCGTAGATAAAATTGTGAGTTAGTCGGTAACGATTTTAGCTATAATAACCGTCGGGTTTTTGTTTTGTCCAAAAAAAAAAAACGTTAAAACTTGAGGGAAATAGTTATATATAATTAGCGTCCGACCCGCTATTAGGACCAAAAGCCTTATGACAAGTATAAATGCATAACGGCCGATTTATTCAATTATTATAATAAATAAAAATTCAGGATTCGTGCAATCGCAGGTGCAAAGCATAAGAACTTCAATCATCGTCTCAATAAATATCTCCATCCCAGTGTCGATAATAATATCACCGTTCTCTTTAACCCTTTCCGTGCAATATTTATTTTTTATTAAATAACCGTATTTGCTACGCCGACTTTATGCATTTGTATCCCCACAACTAATCGATCGACTAACGAAAAAGTAATGATCCTCTGCTGCCCACTGACGGCTCGTTGGAAAGCTTATTTGAAGAGCTTGCAATTGGCGATTAAAAAAAAATTTTTTTTTAAAAGGGGTGGTCTGAGTCACAAACCGGATAGAGAAAAGGCATTTTTTTTCTTGGGTGTTGAAACTTCTAACCGTGATAAAAAATAGAAATAGCGCTAAATCCTTTACTCTTACCGCTTCTTGGTTGGCAAACAATAGCATAATATTGCTGTAGCAATTTCGTTATCTAACTCAAAATACTTTGGTAGATGGAAGAGATAATATGTCTTCTATTACCACCCAAAAAACACCGAAATTTGCATAAATTTCAAAAACACTCCCTCGTTCCGCCGCAAATAAAATTCCCATGGTAAACGAAAGCGAGATTCACCGTCGCTTATGTTAATCTCGAAGAAGACTTCTTATCAATAAACTAAAACCCGGAAGAAACTAGACCAAGAGTTTGCGATCGATTGCTAAATAAAACAGTGGAGTACATCAACGTACCCGCCGCAATCTAAGGAGTTTTGTCGTGGGCACGTATACTATATTATGAACAATTTCTCCGCCGTTTATTGTTCAATTGAAGCCAAACTTGGAATATAATACAATGAAGCCTTTCTCTTCACGATAAACTCGGTTTCATATCAGTCAATACCTTTTTTCATTCAAATTATTGACTTAATTTGTCTGCAGATCTGTATTCCAAATGTTTCTAACTTCGGATGGCCACTTTTCGCTTTGCGTCACTTCGTCGTGAGAGAGAAATGTCTGCGTGATCAGTGACGCGTGATAACGTCGCTGCGTAGAACTTACGATGCCGTGATCCGTTTTGCGTGTCGCACACTGACGTTTATCTATGACGGCCGTTTTATTTGTTTCCGATTGTTAATTCTTTCGGGTCGGCGGACATTGAAGTTTTATATATCTGGTCAATGACATTAGCAGCATGCTCAATGTCATTGATCTGGTATACCCGTTGCGTTTACATCGG